TCCTGTATGGAATAATGTTGTTTTTTATATATAATTTTTTTATAATAATAATTTTTTATAAGAATATTTTTTTTTTATTTGTTCTTTAAAGGGTACTCTTACTCTTTTAGACGAGGTTCAAAAACGAATTGTAAACTTAGTTAGACTTAGGTTCTATTCATCAATTTTTATAAAAAATACGGTACAAAACAAAACAAGCTTTACTTTTTTCGTAAAAATACGGTACTGTGACAAGCCGAACTTATCCGAAAGTATATGAGAAAACGCAGATGTCTAGTAAAAAGTTTATAAACTGTTTTATTTTATTTTTTTCCGACAATATACTATGAACAATATCTTTGAAAGTTCGATTTCTTGAAAGAACGACTGGTGGAAAATTTATTATTTTTGTCTTTTCAATCATGCCAATTCTTTGAATACAAAACAAAACAATTTAGGGGGTCTTCCATAAATGTACAAGGGAAGGAAGGTTACCTAAAAATGTATGAATGCGTATAAATGATGGAAGCGGAAGGGATTAAAAACTCTCCTAAAACTTTAATTCTTTTTTTGTGACAAAAAGCATTGAATTTTACGAGTTGAAAAATCAATATTATGTTATCTAACAGCGAAATTTCAATTGAAATAAAAGTTTTTTCGCTTTTATTGCTTAAAAAAAATGGAGAATGGAGTGATGTTAGTTATATAATAAGTAATGCGAGCATACGCAGAAGAGAAGTTTTAAAAGTTTTTTTTTATATTATGTATATACATGGTACATAAGTTGAGTTTTAACATTTAGATTATGTATATATATATATATATATATATATATATATATATATATATATATATATATATATATATATATATATATATATATATATATATATTTACGTTTACGACTGACCTTTCATGGAAATCATATGTACAATTGATTGCTAAATTACCATCTGCTAATAATGCTTCTCTTTATCTTGCTTGCCATTTTCTTACTCCTGATTCCATTCTCTACCTCTACAAATCTCTTATTCGTCCCTGTATGGAATAATGTTGTTATATTTTGGCTGGTTCTTCTAATGGTACTTATACTCTTTTAGACTTTTAGACAAGGTCCAAAAACGAACTGTAAACTTAGTTTTCTATTCACCAAGCTTGAGCCTCTCTGCCATCTTCGTAATTTTGCATCACTCTTACTTTTCTACAAATACTACCATGGTTGCTGCTCAAAGGAGCCAATATCTCTATTTCCATCAACCAAAATTCATTCTCGCTTAACTCGTCTTTCAAGAAAGTCTCGTTCTTTTACTGTATCTGTCCCTGCATGCTCAAAAAAAATTTATTTGTCTAGTTTTTTTTCATCACTTTCGAGCTCTCTCCCATCTTCATGTTTTCCTGATTCATACAACCTGCAACTTTTTAAATCATCTGTCAACCGTTTTCTTGCTCTACAACTCTATCATTTTTTTCTAGTAATTCTCAACGTAATAGTGGTTGCTTGCAGCCTTGTTGGGAGTGAATCAAAATTAAAAAAAAGCCAATTATTTTTTTTTTCTACATAACTCAAAACTATACAATAACTCTATTTGTCTGGTATGTTATGCCTCTTACTATACATAAACTACTACTTCAGAGTCCTTCTAAATCATATAAACTACCTTTGCCAATTAGGGTATATTCGAAGATGCACTAAGGAGTTTGACTCACATTTGATGTTAATCACTAATGTGAATCAGATACACAACCTTCTAGTAAGATCAGATCCAAAGTATCAAGTATATCTTTTTATGAAACTTTAGAATTATCGAGGATAATTCTAAAGTTTCATAAAAAGATATACTTGATACTTTGGATCTGATCTTACTAGATCAGATCCAAAGTATCAATATAAAATGAATATCAACTAGAGTAAAGTATTAGGATTATGTGTTTTAACTTGAAAATTCTAAAACTTTAACAAAATTATTTTTTTAGACTTATTGTCAAGCTTTACGGGCATATTTACGCGTATACGCAAATTGTACGCACCAAAGCTGCGCGTAAAAAGTATTTTTATTAACAAATTTAAAATCTTTGACCCAAAAATATATTATTTGAACATGTTGCATGTTTATTTAAGGTGTTTGTCAAACTTTATTTGCGTAAACGTTTTTGCCGTTTTTTGATTATCCTGAGCCACTGTAGGCCGCCAATAGCTGAAATTTTATGCGCGCTACAACTTTTAGCGTCTTTTTTAAAAATATTTTTACAAAATAAACCAATAATTAAACGACATTTTTTCTTCGCTAACTTCTTTTAATGAACCTTTTATGACCAATCTCTAGATTTATAAACGATTTGTAATATGACCTACAACTCGTAGAAAATTTCTTTCACTTTGCAATATTAATATTAAAAAGTGAAAAAAATTTTCTACCAGTTATAGGTCATATTATAAATTGTTTATAAATCGAACTAGAGATTGTTTGCGACGACTATTCTTAACAATTAGATTTTACAAATCTTTGGTAACTGAATTTTTTTACAAGTAGAACGCTTGATAATTTTATTGATTGTATAATTTAAAAATTTTTTATTATATTGTTACGCAGGAGTTATAGAAGGAATTTTAAATTTTTAGATTAGTTTTTAAACAAAATAGTTAGACTACGATACTTTACAAAATAAAACTTCTTTTTAATTGGAAATTTGAGACAGTTATAATTTTGACTGAAAATCAAGTTAAATGTTTTCCCATGTGACGAAGCAGTCATTTATTGTTTAGCCATTGTTATTTATAATAATTGATAGCGCGGTTAAAACAATGCACAGTGGTCTGAAAAATTTGATTTTTGGCCAAAATTAAAATAAAAAAAATCTTTAATTTTTTTTTTATTATTATTTTTAAACATAGAATTATCTAGGCTATTCAAAAATATATAGATTTAATACCCGGTGGGAAATGAGCTAGCGACTAGCGAGCGACTAGCTAGCTTTATAGCGATTTTCAAGCAACTTTTTTTTCTTATTTTATTTTGTCCTAATGTCTTGAACATCTTTAAAAATTCGATTTTTAGTGTTGAGTCTATTATAATTATGAGAATAATTGAACTTTAAACATAGCGATTTTGTAGCAATGTGTCGCTAGTTACATATCGTAGCTTTGTTGCTAGCTACAAAATATCTACAAGTCTATAGCTGGTTGATAGCTACATATCAAGATTTTTTAGATAGCGATTTTATTACGATATGACGCAAGCTACAATAACCTGTGGGTCTTTAGCTTATTAAGCAAGCTATCCTCGTAGCCAAATCGCTGTTTTTATCTTAACAAATATCAACAACTTTTCGCTAACTAAAAAAAACTAGCAACCTCGTGGCCAAATCGCTGTCTTTATCGTAACGATTGTAGCTAGTTATTCGCTGGCCGATTTCCCACCGGGTATTTTTCCTTGTAAGAAAAGTTAATAACCGTATCCAAGAGCGATTAAAAATCAATGAATAATTTCTTGCAAAAATACAACATTTTTTTATTTGTCTATAAATTTAAAACTATATGCACATATGTATAGATTTTTTTTTTTTAATGCTATAGTATAAAGTTTTGTTTAAAATATAAATAATAGTAATAATTTTTTTATTATTGTATATTTGCATAAGTTATTTGTTTGAAATTAGCATAAAATAAAAGTTTTTTCTTCAATTTCAACTTCTTCCTTAGCCTAAAGTCCGCATGCATGAACATGATCGATATGATTTTATTAAATACTAATATACATATATTAATAATAAAAAAAACAGCTGCATATATATTTATTTAAGCCAACTTTAAAGCTCCAAAAATATATTTATTTTATGATATTAAAAAAATGTTATGTTGTTAAAAAAATGCATATTTTAGTAAATTTAAAATCCATATAAAATGCCGCTATTAAAACTATATTTATAGAATATTTTGAACATCTATTATCGTTTAATAGTTTCTAAAAAAATATCAACTGCAGATAATTTAAATAAAGGAACTTATATTCATTGCAAACTATACCGTATTGACAATACAATTTGTGTTGTATTTATACCGCATTTTTAATCATATCTTTGTTATTCCACATTGTACATATACTTTTTATATTATAGTTTTTAATTTAATGCATTGACTTGCATATCTTTAGATTGATTATTCAATTAAAGTTTAGAATAGCAGCTTTTCATGAATAAATTAACACCCAATTTATGACTAATTTTAAGATTTTTCGCTTGTAATTTTTATTATTTATTTTTCAAAAATACACACGAAAAACTTGTGAAAAATAAACGGAAATTTTTTTTGAAATTCTTGACTGTACCGCTAATGCAATATTTGATCAATAAAACCTGTAAATCAAAAACTGTTTTCAGATTTGGATTCAGCATTATCGATTTAGTATAAAAACATCATAATTTTAATTTTGGCCAAAAATCAAGTTTTTCAGACCCTGTGCAACGCGTTAAATTATTTCTTTTTTGAAATAATGTAAATATTGATTCTGATATAAAAAAGTTTTTTTGTTTCCTTTTCCGTCCGAACAATTAGATTTTTCAAATTACTTTTACAATTTTCATAGTATTTTTTGTCAATAAAAACATAAACATCTTAAAAAAATATCTTACTAATAAACATCTTAAAATATGTAAAAAATTAGGTATGTAAATTTTTTATATAAAACAAATCTTTTATCGAACAGCAGAACCCCAAATAACTCTCAGCCAATTTCTTAGCTCAAAAGACTAAATCTGTTAATCAAAATTGATTTAAACTAATATAAATGTGTGATACTACAAAAAAAAGTGTTCAAAGTTCAAAATGTTCTCACTACATTTATTTCAAACATTCAAATTGTTATTGTAAAAAAAAAAAAGGAACTTAAAGTTTAAAAATCCTAGTCAAACTTTGTAAATTTTAAAAAAATTTCAACATAAAAATATGAAAGTAATGGATTTGAATAAAGTAAATGATTTATTACTCTGATTAGTAACAGTAAAGATAATTATGTAATAATTAAGATAATTATGTATAGATATTCTGAAAATCTTAAATAAAAATATATGTTTTCCAAAATTATTTTAAAGTTGCATTATTGTTTATCCCTTGTGCTTTTTGTTTTGCTGTTCTCGTTCTTGTTTCCTTCTTTGATCTGCTTGTCTTCTGGCGTCACCTTTTTCATGTTTCTCTTGGTTACTTTTTCTTTTGTTTTTAGTGTGCCCTTTAAACGGTTGAGGGAGTCCAGCGGAAACTAAATAGTTAATGAATTTTATATATTGACTAAAGTATTAAATTCAAAATAAAATATACTTTTACATATTATATATAGTTAAATATTTATTTATTTGGGCTTGTTAAATTAGATTGTTATTTGCATCTAAAAAATAAATTAAAGCTTAAGTTTTTTTTTCTTACATGGGAAAACGAATGCAGTGTTTTCAGATGGGTTTATAATACCATTGGCCTCTAAAACCTGGTTGACATCTTTGAATATAAAAACTAAGCACAGAACAATTGCAAGTCCAAGTAAACGTTTCATTTTATCACCTTGTTATTGCGTTCAGATTTTACCTATGAATTGAATTGCTTTTTGAATCGATTAAAATTGTTTTCTGAGTTTTAGCTGTGATTAGTTTTATAACATTCCAAAAAGCTGATTGGTAATTTTATCTAAATATTATTTAATACGATGTTTCCATAGTAAATTGCTGTCTGTAAAAAAGTGTCAATCAGACTTTTATCATGTGAATTTGTGTCGTGTGATATGTGTCAAATGCCATACGGCCATTCCACGTAAAGACTAATATTTTTTTTTATTCAAGAACTACTAATATAAATATATTTAATGAAATAAGAGTTTTTTTATGCACAAAAACTTTTTTTTTTAAATTTCATAATTTTGTTAAAAAAAAAATTATATGCTACTTCACTTCACAGTGAATTATCCTAAAATCAATATTACATTATGATACTAGTAAAAGAATTTTTTGTTATTCGTATAAGTCTTAAACGATAAAGCCTTATGCAAATCAAAATACGCAGTTAAATATGATATGAGTTTAAAAGCGTTGTAAATAGATATTAAAGTTATCTTTTAATAACAGTAAGATACATCATACCATACTTAGGCTATATCGTATAAAATATAATACTACCCAAATTTGGCTTTTATCAAATTTTATGTCAAAGTACTTAAAACAATAACGGATCCCTATTAGGCTGAGTAAGCTAAAGCCTAGGACCCCAAAGAGAAAAGAGGCCCCCAATGAGGAAGAGTCCCAGCACCAAACTACAAACTAATGTCCGTTTACGCTGCGTTAAGAAACAAGATAATAATCCAAATTAAAAATATTATAGACATAATGTACTTTATAAATAGCTGTAAGCAGTGCAGTTCGATTGGAATCTTAGCCAAGAAGAGCAAAAACGTGGTAAAATTTATTAAGGCTTTAAGAGGTTTTGATAATTATGTATTATTATTCGGAAATATATATTATAGAAATACAAAAAATTTAAGTGGTAGTCAAAAACAAAAAATAAAAGAACAAATGGTATTATATTTATTCAAAATTATTTCAGTTTTTAAATAATGCAGGTCTTTCTATTGAAAACATCCGTAGGAAATCATATGATAACGCTTAAAATGTGTGTGGAAAATATACAAGCTTACAAGCAAAAATAAAAAGAATGAATCCATTAGCGGATTTTGCCGATTGTGCAGCGCATTCTTTAAAACTGGTTGGAGTAGAGGCAGTGTGCATTGTAATGGAAATAACAGAATATTTCGAAACTATTTAACACATTTACACCTATTTCTCTGCATCCCCACACCGTTGGAAAATTTTTAGTGAAAGAACATCCCTGGTATTTTCACTAAAAATTTAAGCACCACTAGATGGTCTTTTTATTATGCGTCAGTTCATGCGGTTAAAGTTAGCTATTAAAAAATACTTGATATCTTTAAATATATATTATATAAAAGTTCTGAAAAAGCAGGATGTAAATAAGAGACAAAAGATTTATATAAATTAATTTCGAAGCGGGAAACAGCAGTTTTAACAGTAATATGAGAAATAATCTTGGAGCGATCCAAGTTAACAAAAATACTACAAACTCTTGGTTTAGATATATGTAAAGGATACACTTTACTCCATTTACTGGAGTTATATATACAATCTTTACGTAAAGATTAAAAATAAACTCAAATTTTTGATGAATCTGGGAAAAAGAGATTCAGTTATTGAGCTTAAATCAAAGAATTCTTTTCCTTGTCATTATATAAAAATGATATCGGAGAAGAACTATGTGTGTGTGTGAACTATGAGTGAATCCAGTCAGTTTCAGGATTATTTAGATATGGTATGTTTTAAACAAAATTATTGAAATTATGACACTAGTTTTTGAAAAAAAAAATGATATTGTAATTGATATATTTCCGAAACTTTATACAATTCTTAAAATTTACCCAACTATACTATTCAAAAAAATTATTATCTTCTGCACTTAACTGATAGGTGAGTTGGGGAGAAGTGGGACACGTAAATTTTTTTTTAAGGCTAACAGCAATATCTTTTTTATTTGATGTATAAATTGAATCAAACATGTTTTTACAAATAAACCTTTTTTTTAAGGTCCGATTCACTCCCATTAGGCTTCCAGCCAATTATAACTCAGTATATAAATTTTTGCTTTTAGAGAAACCTTGTCATTAGGGTAAAGTGGGACAAGTGTGAGCAGAAGCGGGACAAATAAATTTAAAACAACATTTTAACACAAATTATTAAATAGAAACTGATAAAGTCATAAAATCACCTAATCGACATAAAAATATTCAAGAGCTTTCACCAATTGAAATAATCAAATGGCGACGGGAAGAAGCGAGACATAAATATTTCTTTTTTCTGTTCCATTTCACCCCAATGTAAACACTTTTTTAAGATACATTTCAAAATTAGGAGTTTTAGCGCACGCAGAGAAACAAAGCGATTTCTGCTAGGTTGAAGGGAAGAAATTTAATTGTTTACATTAAATAACAGTTTTTAGACACCACTCCTAATTAGAAGTTTCAGGCTGTCCCACTTCTCCCGCGTTCCACCTCTCCCCAATCTCCCCTACGTGTTTATGAATTGTTTGTGATATCATATTCAGTTAACAGAATTGAGAGGTCAAAATTTCAAAAAAAAATGTTTATACGTAAATAAAATATATACCTCATAAAAAAAATTTAGTTTTAATAGAATTTGATATTTATGTCTATCTTTTCATTTGTTCACAAAAACATCAGGTTATTTCAGATATTTTGAAAGTTTAACTTAGGTGGAGCCTCGAAAACTCAATCAGCCTAGGGCCCCAAAAAACCACGATCCGCCACTGAATTAAAAGTTTGTATCTTTTATGTTATTTCCAATATAAGCGTTATGTTTCCTAATTAATATAAATATAATTAGGACTTATAAAACTTTTAAAACTATTTGAATTCATAAAAGGAAATGCACACACACTTTAGCCGGAAGTGAAAATACAAGTTTTAGCGCTGTGCATTTTTTTAGCAAAATTTGTTTTTGAAACTTTATAAAACATGTATTGAACTTAAATAAAACTGCCCGTTTGATCAATATTTTTTAGGTTTACGCCTGGATCGTGATGAACACAAGTTTTAATTACAAAACTAAAATTAAGCTGGTTTAAAAGTTAGCTGTTTTATAAATTATTTTGATTTTTATTTATAAGTATACTAGATAACTATTAAGATTTGAAATAAAATATCAAGATATCCTGAAAAATAAAAGGGTCTGCTAACAGGTGTTCTTTTGTTTGTGGCAAATTTCAATGTTTATATTATTCTTATACGTTCACATCATTATCAGTTACTAATTATAACCCGACCTAGCAATTAAATTATTGACATTATTATTTACAAATTTATTACCAATAAAACCAATAATACCAATAATAATTAAATGATACAAAAAATTCTGTGCTTTCTATTTGTTTTGTTTGTGGAAATTTTACTGCTTGTAATTGTTACATTTTAGACAAAACAGCACTGATATTATCAATTATCTTGAAAAACAAAGGGTCCGCCCACTAAATATGCTTTTTGTTTGTGGAAAATTTTGCTGATTATATTTCAAATCTTAATTTTTAAAATTAATAATTATCTAATATACTTATATTATTAATTATATACTATAAATTTTTACTTTAAATTTAAATTTCATTTAAATTTAAAGTAAAAATTTCTTTTTGTTTAATACTACTTATGATTAATGGAAAAAAAAATTTATACAGAACTTAAGATATTTATAAAGTCTCTTTTTGAACTTTTTGAGGAGTTTGCTCAGTCGGTTTGCTTCAAATCGTTTTAAATGAAATTCAAAAACGTCTATAATTTGGTTTCATCATCTCAAAAAGGAATAATTTCAAAAAATCGTAAATCCCTTTAATAGTTTTTTTTTTTTTAATTATTTTTTTTGACTGCCTGACCAACCCAAACCTTTCGTACTTAGATGTACACTCCACTACGCCTGTCCCTATTTTACTAAGTCGATGTGCGAACACTCCACTGCAAGTCTTTGAGCTGCAACTGTGCAAGCATGATTTAAAATCATTTTCTTCTTCAATGTAAGCTCGTCTTTTACATTTCATGGAGCTGAAGAAACAATACTTTAGATAAATTTTGTCTTTGTAAACTTTGTCACGAGGGTAGCCGTAATCACCAGACCACATCAGTTTTGAAATTTTTTACTAACCTTCAACTTTTTAAAATTCACGACCAACAAAATTCGCTGACATTTTTTCCTTTTTCTTTGATTTTTTCAACTGGTTGTTCAAACAAAGCAGTGTTTACATCCTTCTTAAGTTGCTTTTCAAAATTATTTTCTTTTTCAAAGTTATTATGTTGTTCACTTAATATGAAAAATTAAGTTAAAAAAATTATATGTTGATAGTTGTTATTCTTTTTTTTTTTTTTTCCTTGAGGAATATTTTATTTTCCAAATGTATTTGCAATTATTAAAATAATTTTTAGACTAGAGATTTCACAGGTCAGAAAATAAAGGCTAAAGTTAGTATTCCATAATATACCGCAATTATATTATATTACAATTAAAACATAAAATCTTGATTAGCATTTTATATTTTAAATAAATTTTAAAATTGCTTGTATTCCACAGTAATATTTTAAGTGTTTTCTCTTAAAACAATCTAATCGTTTATCTTGCAGATTAGATGTTTTACAGACTGTTTAAACTAATAACCGACTATAACAGCTATTCTTGACTAAAACAGCTATTTCTTGAGAAGCTGCTTAACTACAATGAGTGTCGCTTCTTTTTATTACGGGTTTTAAATTAGTTGCGGGAGCTTAATATATGATTATACTAAACGGTCAAACCTTTAAGAAAAACTTAATATCCTAATTAATGCTTCGGTAAACAGTAGTATTTAATTTCACGGAAGTTTATTCAACTCCCCGATTTCTCACGGGGGTGTCATATAAACTTTAGTTATGGATTCTTTTCAACATATTTGAAATATAGCTTAAGTTCAATTCATTTTTGTAATTTTAATTGTGTCTGTTATTTATATGTACAATGGAATTTTTTATTTTAATATTCTCAACTGTGTTTTATAGAAAAACATTTCCTTTAAAGGTGATTAATAGCTTTAC